ATATATATATATGTATATATGTATATATATACATACATGTATATATGCATACATATGTATATATATATATATATGTGTGTATATGTACATATATATATACATGTATATACACATATATATATATATATATACATATATATATATATGCATATATATATATATATATATATATATATATATATATATATATATATATATATATATATATATATATATATATATATATATGCATTCTACGTGCATTACAGACCCTACTGAAGAAAAAGACGACCATAACATCCGACTAGCCGGAATACAATGTCACAGCTAGTCGATCAACAGATCCCTTGTTAAAACTTTTTTACATCTGAATTAACGGAAGAATAACAATGCATCTATGGAGCTTCACAGGAATATGTAGATAATACAACTCTTATGTACACAATGCAATCAAATGTGTAGATAACACAATCTTTCATATGAATATACAATTTTATTTGATAATTTTATTAAAATTACACAAATTTACAATGTGTAGAATAAAGTTCAAAAAAGCAATTAATCAACAAAGAGACCATTTTCTGAAGATTAGGGACATGGCCACAGCCATGGCCAGTGTGGAAAGTCATGGCTCTCAGCCTTTATCATTTCGATCATTTTTGAAAAAAAAAATTCAAGCATGATGTATTGTTACTCGAAATAAATCCTAAGTTAAATATCAGATCAGAAACTGATTCTTGAGAGGATAAAGTATTGCAAAATAGAAATTTTTTAAAGCAATAATAGCTTTGGAAAAAATTTGAATATAGCATACTGTTTGAGGGATGACAATATCTTCAAAATGTCACGTTAAAAATAGCCAAAACTTTTCGTTCGTTAAAAACCGTACATTCTTAAGACGCATTATTTGATAATATTTGTAGATGAGTCGAGAAGGTCGTTGGACAACTGAAGTTCTCGTTTCAACTGCCGAAGGACAAACTATTTTAAAGTAATCCATTATGCTCTTATGTTGAACCAGATTGGCGACAACATTAAAATTAGGAATCTAACAAAGAGTTTGCTGGCGAAAACGATTTTTTCATATCCAAGTTAATCTTACATACACTGGCAGAAACGAAGACCTTTACTAATATATGGCACATGATTTTAAATTTAAGTAGTAATAAATTTTACGATGCATGAGATAAAATAATCGAAAATTGCGTGACGTGATGTACAGCTAATTTTAAAAAATAACACAGCAACAAAAAGGATCGTTTGAAAAGAGCAGTGAGTGAAATTCAATTGAAAAAAAGCATCACTGCAAGTAACATAACCTAAAGCTTAATGCAGCAGAAACGGTAATAATTCGTTCTAATATCCCTGAAATAACAAACTGTTTTCCAATGGAAAGTCACCGATATTTCTAGATGGTAACAGCTTCTTTGTTTTTTTCTCTAATATAAAAACAAGGTAGGAAAAATCAAACTAGACTAAATAAAACAAATTCTGGACTCAAAAATTTACGCTTACTAACTTGATGTGTGTTTATGCGCATGCAAATTTCTTATAAACGTTCAGAAGAACAATCATCGAGCAAAGCAGAATTGGGCCAATAATAGCGCCTTGTAATCCAAGCCAATAGATCCCACCGATAATTGCCAGACCAGTAACATATGGATGGCTTCCTCTGCAGATAAAAATTTGAAGAGTTTACAGCTGCAAGTTAAAATTGAAAAAACTGAACACCGATAAATATGCGATGTGGAAAAAACACATTGTACAAGTTCGATAAACAGAAGAATTAGGTTCATGTAAATAAAATAGTAATTTAACCACTTTTTCAGTATGTAATGCAGCTAAATTTGCAAAAGAAATAAGGGAATAATTACTACCCAATATATCCATTTTTCTCTTATATCATTGTTGAAGATACGAAGGAAAATGTGACAAAGCTAGTAATAATAATTAACTATCGATATTCTTCGGTCCCAGTGCGCTCATACGAATGTACGGCCATCATCATAAAGAGTTTCAGCCGAAAGATGGTGAATACACATGCTTCATCATTGCGCCTCTTGAAAACCCTGTCGTTCCCGACGTCTGCAGCGGAATCGAACACCGAAATGCCTGGCATCACATTGCCTCCAAACCACCCCACCAATTTACCCCACAGGGGTAGCATATACATCACAAAACTTGCTCGTATGTACATGTTTTTCATCCAACTTGATCATGATATAAAGTCACATTATATCTTTAGTCAGTAACTTTCTAATTAGAAGGATGAAGTTATCATAAAGATTAGGACACGGGAATTTGTGTTGCCTGATTAATTAAAAGTTATACATCTTTGAAATTATGAACAATTATGAACAAATTATGAAATTAAACACACAATAATACTTCACCTTAATTCATTATAGAAAGCAGTATCAGCGAATACTTTCGGTGCCAAACTTGTCAATAAAAAGAGGAGAGCTGCAGCAGTTTCATGTTCGGCGAGATAGAGCTCCAGAAAACCGAAGATGCAGACAAAACAGGGCGCAATGACTGGGACTGATGCGAAAACAGCTGCCAACACTGAAAAAGTGCTAATATTCAACATAAGAAGCCATCATAACTGCACTTTTCCTAATTCATGTTTGGTCTGCAAAAAGTACCTACACAATAAATAAGCAGCCATGAAAAGATGTATATGTATTATATATGCATACACTGGAACTCAACAGAATTTTCGTTGGATATATCCAGGATTTGTTCTGGAAATTGGCTAGGATCTTGTTCATGTCAGTTGAACAAAAGACAGTATTTTTTCTTCTTTGCAATGCAGTAATTTCATGTTTGATTCTGATTAAAATATTGAGAAATCACTTAACTGACGGTATAAAAACAACGTTGATATCGAACAGAGCATGAATGAAATAGGTATACAGACCATAGAAAAGCGACATTTTTGCCGACAGCACGAATACGCCACTAAAGAGGATGATAAAAAAAAAAGAAGAAAAGGAAGAAAATCACTCTGGTATAGTTTGAAAAGCTTAGGAAACAAGCTTCCCACAAGCCAAACGAGTTCAGTTCATTACAAATAGGGAAAGACAATCCAATGAATGAATAAGAGTCCAGCGACAACTAGACTTTCATTAAATTTGAAAATTTGCAAAAAGTGACCTTATAGCTTTCTCAATAGCTGGAATGATATATAAACGGGCAGAACCAGTCGTATCATGAGAGGGAGGCAATGTATCACTAAGCCATTTTGTCGGCAGCCAGATATCCTGGCTACTAGCTAACAGATAATACAAGGTTGTCAGAAAAACAGTCTAAAAATAAGTAATTTGAAAGGAAAGCAAGAGCTTAAACATGGATGAACTAAATCTTTTTCAAAGTTCCTTATCTTAAACTTTAAAGTTAATTGTATGAAAATTGTACAGCTTACAATTTCGATGAAGAAATTGAAAAGTTCAAGCCCAAAGTTTATCACAATTGCAAGAATCGTAAATAAAACTGTTCCCAAAGTAGATATATTGCCTGCGGTGAAGGACCAGACCGACTGTGCAATCTAAAGACAACTTAATTAAAATTAAGCATTATGAAAACTCAGCAAGAATGACCAAGTCATCCCAACGAAAATCTTGATTTACATTATTGATGTAAAGGGAACCCTGAAATCAGCTGCTAGAAGCGACCACCTGAACAATTTAGAGATGAAGTCAGCTAATCTGGATTAGTTTAAAATAAGCTTAAAAGTGTGAACATTATATTAATTCAATAGAAATATATTTTAAAGAAGTTGTTCAGAGAAAAGCGAAAGAGACATAAAACACTGACGCTCATGATTGTATCAACATTTGCTTTAATAAGTTCGACCATTTCCTCTCGTAGTGTACTTATACTTGTAAAAACTTCCAGATTGCTCATCCAGTCTTTTGTAGCACTATCAGATGACGAAATACTTGTTTCATTACGGTCTCCCCACATTCCGTACAGTTTATCCAGCAACTAAAAGATCTTTTGACTTTCTTACCATACATCCAGTTTTCATGAAAATTATCATTATCATCATAGCTAGGCTTCGCGAACGAAGATTAGAAGTATCAGACTCTACCCATATTTGCTGCAAGCGCTAAAAATGTGGGTGTATCCCTCGAGCCTGCATAACGGATTTTTCAAATGAGGCACAAGTGCGCAGAAATGGCACCATCCTTTATTTCTATTACGGGATTAAACGAGCTCTATCTGGCCGAGTTTGGAATTTGAGTTGTTTTATAAAAACACAAAATGTATAAAATACAGCTGAGGATTTTAGCATTAGTTATAGCTGATACTTGACACAATCCATAAAAAATTTCGAACCAGGAATTTCGTGCCCTTTTTTTTGAATTTGGCGCTTTCATAAATTTTGCGAGCCGACCACGTGTTATATGAACCAATCAAAAGGCATGATTCAAACAAGATCAGATAAAAAAGATAAAAGACAGGCACAAAGAAGCAGAAGAGGGGAATTTAACGCCGATTCATGTCCTGTGTCAGCCATCTGTTGCTTGAGAAGCATATTTGAAAATTGGATGATTGGTTTACAGGCAGAATTAGAACCATAAGTGGAAGTAGTTTTTTTTATTTATCTACTATTAAAAAGTTTACCAATGCTAAAGAATAATATCATGCTAATAAATAAAAACTGCTTTTGATATCAGTGCATTAGCATTTTTTATAAAAAAAATTTTTTACAAAAATTTTCTTCAAGCAAAAGAATTTTTCGTACTGAAATCCATTCAGAAGATTTCGACCGGATATCACTTAGTTATTAGGAATAGTTTGCCAGAAAATCCAACCTCAATCACTTCCTTTTCAAGCAATTCACCTTTTACCGGATCTTGTGTTCCAATAAATGAGCGGACATTAGCCGCCAACCATTCTCGTCCTTTAAGATAGCCCTTAAAATGATCTTCTGACGCGATAAAAAAAGCACCTTACCATGCAATCACAAAGCATTGATTGGAAAATTACAGCAAGGAAAAAAGAAAATTAAATATTTCCTCAAATAAGTATCAAAATGAACTTAATATCACCTGTTCAACGTAATTGTCAATGTCGCTTTTCTCTAGTTGATTTCCAGTATAACCCCGTGCATAATCTAACATCCAATCGGGTTGCTGTGCCAGCAAATTGGCACCAAGCCTACTAAGATGAGCTACTTCGCCATGAACTTGAAAAGCAACTAAGACGGTGACAAAAAGAGATCCAAAAATCAACAGTAACATAACTAGAACTGTTGAAAAATCGTCCACTGCTCTCCGTAGCGAGTTTTTCATCTAGAACGTAATTAATCTAAAATTTAAAACCGCAAAATCGACTGCTATAAAAACGTAAACATTTGGTCAGTTTGGAGCTTTTTGAACAATTCAGAATATAATGCATGAAGCCGACATAGCAAATATAAGCTTTTATGCAGTGCTTTTATGCACTTTCACGCAGTGAGCAAATATATGCTTTCATGCAATGTTTTAACATATTATAAAGAATATGCCAAGCAAAAAATTGCTTTCACCAATAAAAATTTACCATCTGATCACTTGAAAAAATGAACTTGAAATAATTTCTAAGCGGGCCTGCAACAGTAACATGCACGAATTGTTTCGTGATTTCATGGAACTGTTCCCAAATTGCGCAACACTTTTTTGTAAGACCAGTTTGCACACCAATTTCCACACCTGAAATCTATTTGACTCAAAAATTACGAGATTACTGAATTTCTGCAATTTTATTATCCTAGATGAAATAATAAATTCAGAAAATATTTGCTTTTCAAATTAAGAAATATAATATGAAACAAGACACCTCAACAATTACGGTATGAATTTCTTCATAAGAAAATCTTGTTTTTAATAAATGATATTTGTCGGTTGTATTACGATAGGAATATTAAAAGGAAATCAGTAAAAACAAGATCAATGTACAGTCTTGAAATGCTAAGTTACGGTGATTTATGCTCCAACAAATTAATGATTTCTGTTTTTTGCACCCGAAGCAACGGCAATGGGCATCGCTTAAAGGCCGGAATCCATAATTTCAATTAATTCCAGCAGCAATCACCAATTCTTCTCAATACAGTGAAGACAGCTAGGAAGAGCACACAAACTGGTACAAAGTCATGTCGCACAGCAAATTCCAAAGCACAAAGTCCAAGGATAGCCTAGGAAAAAAATAGATATAAAAAACTAGCAAATTCCAAAAAAATACACCAAAACGGAAGAAAAATTGAATTCATTATTGGCAAGAAGGAAATTTTTACACTTTTTCGATTTCAAACCGGGAAATTTTGAGACAGATGAACAAATGTGTTCCACTGAAGTAAAGAACAAAATGGCTGAACCAGACTAAATTTAAGGTTGATATGGCTATTAATCACCTGCAGATAGAAATCCCCCGTTAATTCTTGGTCGAGCGTCTTTTCCTTGTTATCTTCAGCAGGTTTTTGCTCAGCTTCCTTTGAACTGATATCTGAATTAAATTTACTTCGAATTTTCTTCATTTCACCTTTCTTTCCTATAGACCCGCTTTGTCGTTTATATCATGAAAACAGCCAAATCGACAATGTGATGGCATAGATGTCAACTGGTCTATCAAACTTCTAAAGTAGCATGGAAAAGGAAAACAAACCACCAGCTTTTTCTGGATCTGCTTTGACTTCTTCCCAAGTCAAAATACCAGCTGCTACGGTTATAAGAGTTGCTGAGATCCCACTCATAACAATAACATTGAATGGACCAAAAAAACTGGAAACCTTTGCTATACCGAAAAACCTATAGAAAGATAGGTAAATTTTAATAGTTAGATTTAAGAAAATAAAAGTTGGGAAAATATCTAGACAAAAATATGAAATTGAAATCGTATTTATGATGAAATCGCCCGGACAGGTGATCCTCTCTGTTCATGAAAAATGTCGAAAAAGCGCTACGAAGCGAAAGCAAGGAAGATGGATTATTCCTTAATTTATGGACTCTTTTTATAAAGCAATTTTTTTAAAAAATTTTTTTATAAAACTGTGACTGCGGTGAGAACTTACCAGAGAGGGAGAGAAATTAAACGTGCCAATTTCTTATTTATTGAATGCTGCTCCTGCACATAAAGCCAACCGACAAATGCAGCCAAGTAGAGCATCATCAGAATCGAAACCTTTGAGGAATCATTAGTGGGAAAATGGAAAATTGTGGTTCTCATGGATGGTCCTTTTTGTCTGCACAAGTTTGAAGCAAACTATAGTTTCATTATTCAAATTCATTTTTAAGTTTATATTTGCGAACAAGGTCAATTTTACTTCCGCTTCTCAGTTCATATAAATTAGAATAAGGAACATCCAATAATCTCAATACAAGGGAAATCTCTAATGAAAGCTAACCCAAGTTCTGGTGCAAAACAGAATAATGTGATCGGTATTCTGGTACAAATCACCAAGAAGATGCAATAAAGCGACAAACGTAATGTAGTTCAACACTTTCAAAACCAAATAAGCACCCAATATCATAATTCCTTCGCGTCTACAACACACCAATATTTATTTAAAATCAAGTCCTCCTAGACAAAATTTAAGCAGTAAAACTTGTTAAGAAATCAAATTTTGCAAGATAAATATCCGAAACTTTCAAACCTTGCCAGATAAATGAGGAACAAATCGGTAGCACTTATAAATGTATCATACGGTATGAGAACAACAGCTACAAGCAATGGTGTCTCGTCATTATCCACTCTCGACAGCCAAGCTTAATTTATGAGTTCCACAAATTATTAAAAATTGTGGTTCTTTCAATGTAAGTAAGAGCTGAACTTATTTAAGGTGGACAATTGACAAAATTCCGTTTTGTGGATCAAAAACGCCTTACTTCTTCTACAAATCATTAATGAGCTCATTGAAATAGTACCATTAATTGCACTGTTAAACCTTTTCTTGAATGGAAAAAGAATCGTTCCAATTAGTGTAGCCCACAACAAGGGTGTTAAAAACATGTACATCATTTTGTATACGGCGTAAAGCCCTGTCAAGCACATTCCCGTCTGCAAAATGGCTAGTTGAAACGATAAAATCAGTATCCTTGAACTAACATGGTTACCATATTCACAGGAAGTTAGCGGGTATATTTTAGTCAATAAAAGTTTAACCCGCATTTTTGACTGACCCAAGACATTTTCATGAGATCTACTTAATGAGTCAATAGGATGGGAGAAATGATAGTTTATAATTAAATCGAATTTCAAACATACCAGCGCAAGTAATAGGGTATTATAAAAGGCGAACTGTAGGGCGACCCATCGATCGCTACCTGACATCAGCTGTTCTACCAAGCTCATTTCTGAAACTTAAAACTGGAATTATTATCCCAAGTTCCCTATCCATTAGAGCACTTCGTTAAAGGTATGAAAATTTAACTTAGTAAAATGAATAACACAGCATGGTACAAGTACTATCAAGAATAAATTCCGTTATTCAGTGCAAAACAAATTTTCAACAGAAATAAAGCGGAATTTGCGAGAAAGAGGAGAAACGATAAAGGGAAGAGCGAGGACGAAGGAAATAGCTGTTTCGTCGCAAGAAACGCCTGAAATCAAATTTTTAAAGAATTAAGTGAATGCTAAAGTGAGAGAGGAAGAGAGGAGAGAGAGAAAGAGTGAGAGAAAGGGAGGGTTGTTATGTACATAACGAACATATGTCAAGTGTGGAGAAAATTTTCCGATAAACTCGGTGCTCGAAGTACTTCATCAAACTTACAAAGTCTCAACATTAACTACTGTATAAAAAAAAAAGGTCAATGAAAGGAAGGAACGCTACTGCAACTGATCCGCTCTCGCCTGCTGTTTAGTGAAATACCGTAAATTCGAAATATTGTTAATCTGACTGGTACCACAAATCTTCGAAACTTAAGAAATGAAGGATATTTCGTACAAGATTATACTTACCAAGTTCAACATTACACAGAAGGTGTATGCAAGAAATATGTTCGATTGACATCTTTCCGTAACATTCTGGGGATCCAACAAACATACATTTGTGTGGAATACACAGTGGTAAGATGGTGGAAAGTATGGCTCCGCTAACACCCTGATGCAATATGACGATTCAGAGAACTTCTATTTTTTTAACTTAATTCCCTAAACTTTACTAAAAAATTTTGTAGGAAATGAAATCAAAAAAGAGATTTGTGTAAAAAGCTAATAGTGTATATTACAGAATTTGTTATAGGATTCGATAGATATTCCTGAAATTTCAAAAAAACTTTTCAGAATCGATAACACTGTTAGGTGCTATATGTATATAGTATTATATATATATATATATATATACTATTTGTAGTAAAAAGCTAATAGTGTAATAGTAATAGTATATATATATATATATATATATATATATATATATATACGTA